TGATGCCCACCCACTGCTCTAACCTAGCAATGAGGATCTCATGGTAGATGGTGTCAAAGGCAGCCGTGAGGTACAAAAGGACATGCAGCACAGAATCACCAGTATTTGTGGATCTGAAGATGTCGTTAAAGACCTTCAGCAGGGCAGTTTCAGTGCTGTGGATGCTGTGGAGAGGTTTAAAGCCAGATTGGAATAGCTCTAAAATGGCGTGATCCACCAGGAAGCACTTCAACTGGGACTGGTAGGCTGGACAGCAGCATGTTTAAAGGATTTTGGCATCACGCCAGTGGATAAACTACTGTTTACTATATCAAGAATGGACAGACCTAGAGTGGGAAAAACCTCCTTTAGTAGTCGAGGGGGGACCACATCAAAGGGGGAACCAGAAGGTTTCAAGTTACACATGACCTGCTCTAGAGAAGATAGAGTGATGGGTTCAAAATGGTCAAATGGAGCTACAGACTGAGGTGGGATGGATGGATCATGAGTTGGAAGGGAAATGAGAGCCCTGGTGGTTGCAATTTTTCCAAAAAGAAATGTAAGAAGTTGTCGCACAGCTCATTTGAGGCTTCCAGAGGTGATGGTTCAGTGAGGTGAAGAACAGAGTTTAGGGTGGAGAAGAGGACACGTGGGTTTTGAGTTTGAGGTAATTATATCAGAGAAGTATTTGGAGTTAGCAGCTTGTACAGTTTTCTGATGACAGCGCCAACTCTCTTTAAGTATTTGAAAAGAGACCTGCAGCCTGTCTTTCGCTCCGCCCTCCTACATTGCTGCCTAACGGCCTTGGTGACGTCACTCAGCCAAGGTTCTGCTCTGAGTTTTGATTTTCTAGTTTTACCAGGCGTAACATTGCCCGGGTGCTACGACCAGAAATGCACAACTTAAAAGTTAGATGGGGGAGGGTGAGCTCAAACTGGACTGACATGTGGTCTGAAAAAACATCATCACCAATAACAAGATTATTAACAGTCACATCATGAGTTAAAACAAGGTCCAGTATATGTCCACGCTCTTGGGTGGGACCATTTACATGCTGAGTTAGATTAAATGAGTCCAATAAATCTAAGAATTGCTTAACCAAGGGCTTCTCAGGACAGCACGCGTGCAAATTAAAGTCCCCAATAATGAAAACATGCTCATATTTTGGTGTGATTTCAGCTAAGAAGTCAGAAAACTCATTTGTGAAATCCTTAGATCGAGGTGGGCGGTAGACGAGTGCAAATAACGTCAGAGGTGAATGTCCGAGTTCAAAGACGCTCAGCTCAAAGCTGGCACGGGAAACTGGGATGGGCAGTTGTTTACAGTCAAAAGTTGATTTGAATATTGTTAGTAATCCACCACCGCGCCGGCCTGATGGCCGCGGTGCATTAAAATACAGACAGTTCGGTGGCAATAATTCCGTCAAGATGATGCAGGGTTTGACCTTGTTAGTAATGTTTTTCTTTCAGAAAAAAGAGAAGTGGGTTCAAAATGACAGTTGTAGTGAACCTAGGCCCATGTCAAAACTGACCAGATGGACAGAGACTGTTATTTCATTGATCTGCATCCAGAAATACAGTTTGAGCCATCTGGAGACTTTCTTTCTTGAAGTAATCAAGTAGAAAAGACAATTCTCTATGATCATTACTATTTTACAAATGTTTGATAATCAAATTGTGTTAGTTCACTCAATGTTTACAGGTTGAAGAGAACTACTCATTTTATTTACATAAACAGTAAGTAATGATTTTTATTCCTCATTCAAAGAAGAAATCAGGTTAATATGCATTTCTTGATTTTTCTGTCTTCAATGAGCAAATTTGTAAGTATGTTAAAAGTCAGGTTTCGGTCAACTAAAATGTTTATTGAGAAGAAATGTCATGTTTAATCTTCACAGAAGATACAGGAGAGTTTGACTCCACGAAGTCTGGTTTTCTCCAATAATCTTTCTGTCTGTTTTTAAACAATCTCATTCTCTGCCCTTGACTGTGATAACACCTTACATCACAAACCACACCTCTTTTCTGGTCCATCGACCAATCAAAAAGCTCTCAAATGACCCGGAAGTCGACCCATTTAAAATGTGGCAACTTCCCAGTTCAGTCAGTTGCTGCGCTCAGGAATGAGTTCAACATGAGGGTGAAAGAGCAAAGAGTTACAAAGAGTAACAGTTCTCCTGGAGAAGAGAGATGAAAAACTCTCTGATGCAGCTAAGGAAGTTGAGAGTTAAGAGTTAAAGAGTTCCAGAGTTTAACTCTCTGAAGAGAGTTCTGAAGGAGTTCAGAATTCTGACGAGACAGGATGCAGAGAGGATTTTGGGAGTTACAACTTCTGTTTGGATAACCTCGCACGACTCTCTAAGGGTTTGGCTGTCCTCATGGAGACGCTGAAAGAGTCAGAAAGGAACCCTACGCCGACGCTGATTTTATCATCAACCAGGTAGAAGGTTCTATTTTCGACCAAGCGTACCGTGAACAAGCTGAGAACTGAAGGAGCGTGCACGTTTCTGGTCAAACAGATTAATTCCCTCACACATCTCTCTGTAAGATAAATCTCCATTTTCCATCTTAAACTCTTCTTTCTCCTAAAATCATTACAGATATTTTAGAAATATCTGAAGCAAAGTTCTCAATCACCGCCGTGTGGTTGATGTCTGTTGTTCTGCTGAGAAGTGAGGACAATCTCCGTATTGTCCCACTTTCTGTGAACTTCATAAATTGTTATTGTTTTCATATTTTGCCAAATTAATGTAAATGTTTGATGTTAAACTTTGATTCTGCAAATAAATGACCGCATTCATTTGATGGGTCAAAGATAATAACATCTCTCGTTCGCATTTCTGTTAAACTCAACGCACGACATTTACAGTCAGAAAGATGAGGAACTCGTGAAAAATGTATGAACATATGTCCAACTATGTCATACTACACAGTTTAGAAAAAAATAACCAAATTAATTGTGAGAAGAAGGCACGC